ATCTGGATAGATGGCATAATGTAATTAGAAGGGATTCGAATATAGACAGATCGGATACAGTGATCATGGTCATGGTAAGATACTAAGTCCGTCCCCTTGGGAAACTAGCGACGCTGATGGAGAGGAAGATATGCGTAAACTATGCCTATTTACTGCCACATTCAGGCACCTAACCAGCAAGAAGAGGGCTAAACCCCAATCATAACAAAAAAAAAAAAAAAAAAAAAAAAAAAAAAAAACAAACTCAAAGGACGACCACCCCGCAGCATCACAAGGCACTCAATATTTCGACTTCTGTCCTATATCTGTCAACCTCATCCGACAACAAACAAACCAAAGCCCAGAAGGGACGATCATCCGCGCAAGTTACCAAAATCTAGGTTTTGCAAAATCCGAGTTGGGCCGAGAAAAGCTTGTTCAACCGTAGACAGGGTGGCAAAATAGGTAAGTTGCTCTACACGTGCTGGACTTACTGCTTTAGACAGCGGAGCTACGTACCAACGGGGGGCTTTTATACTGGGTTTTGGGGGGGGTTGGTAGCCTGGTTTCTGGAAGGGAAGGGGGAGTAGGAGGTGGAGGTGCATTACCGGGGTTGATTCCGGTGCGTCTTGACATGGTCGATGTACAACCCAAGCTTAAAGGTTAGTGGATGGGGTTGGCGGTCGGTCAGCCAGTCAGATAGTCAGGTTTGCGTCTCGGGGAGTTTGGTACTACATCAGCACTGCAGGCAGAAGCATATAGTCTAGCATATAGCATATACTGGTGTGGTGTGCACAAGGGGCCAAATGGGGCTCAGCTACAGCGGAAGAAGACAGTGAATGCATGATGGAGGGGGACCACTAGTGTGTGTGCAAGACTCAACCTGAACCTACCTTGACCTCGCTTTTGGCTCTCTCGTCCATGCCGGTGTGGATATTGGAGGGGAGGGGGCAGATGGGTCTGATTTCTCTGCAACAATTTCAACAATTTCAACAATTCCAAATGGAGGCACTATGTCTTCCTTTTCTTGTCTTTTCTCCTTTTTCTTCACTGTCTTTTCCTGTTTTTTTTTTGTTTTCAATTTTCCCCAAAAGGATGGCCCAAAACTCAACTGAAATCAACCCCCCCCCCCCCAAACAACAGCTGAACCCAATTAAGAGCAGTGTATCCTCAACTGCATGCAATGGTACATGTACAGTACTTGACTATCAGATAAAGCGACTGCAGCGCCACTACCATCACCACCATTAACCCACTCAGGCCTAGTACTATCAGATAAGTTACCTACCTAAACCATAACCCAGTAAGCCATGACGCCACTCATCCGAAAACGACCCCTACCAACCTAGGCACAGCTATTTAAGCTTAAAATAAACTTATTTTCCTCCGGAAGCAACAGACTACTAGGTACGTACATTCCACTCCACCCCACCTCCAAGCAGTCCAACAGCCTACAAGGTCAAGATCAAGATCAAGGTCAAGATCAGGTCAACGCTGACAACAAAGCCCAATCCCAGCGAGCTAACCCTCACACTAGCAGCAAATGGCTAAAACAGCAGGATGCAGTGGATATCCCGCCGGGCGCCCATGGCATAAACCTCGATCCCCGATGACGATAGACCATCGACCTCCTTCGGAACTGACACGCCAGGTCGAGCTTTCGTGGATGCAGGGCATGCCAGGGCATGGGCTTGGACATGATGGACTAAGGTGGAGTGCTTCTGCTGGACAGAACGAGCTGACGGGATTGGATTGGCCGGGACGTCTGCGAGGCGGTTTCCTGCATCGTGCTACTCTTATCCAATCAGGTGGTCTGGGAGTCGAAGGAGGTCGGGACGCGACAGATGATGCAGCGCAGTGGCATTTCGTCATCGTACCTAGGTGCCTGGTCATCCTTGGGAATGGGGATGAAAGGATTCGCGGGTTTCGTTTGGTGGGTTTGGTGGGGGGGGGCTTCGAGTCGTGGGGATGGACTCTGGATGCTGGATGCTGAAGCGCAGGGAGAGGTCATTACTAGGTGTAGTGGGATGCACTCTACATAGTGGGTAAGGTACTTGTGAGGAGGGTGAAGGGTGGAGGGGGGAGGGTGCAGGGGTAGCTGCAAGGGGATGGGGGGAGATCCAGAAAGCTGGGTGCAGTGCTTGTCTTTCGTCTTCTGCCTTCTGCCTTCTGCTTCATGGAGGAGGGGAGGGGGGCAGAGGGGCCCAGAGGGGGAGGGCAGAACCGCAGGCCTGATTATGCTTAAATTGGGACTCTAGCGTGCTATCGTAGACCACAGGGTTGAGGATCGGTCTGGAGGGACGAACCATTTCCAATCCGTTTACTGCCTACGCTTTTACTGAATCTGCAATGGTGGGAGTGCGGCAGTAGAAAGGCCCAAACGGTCAGTGCCGCAAAAGGAATCAGCTGGGATGGGATTCTTGGGACGCTGCATGCATGCATCCACACTCTTTAGTAACATAAGCCTCCTGTTGTCTGTTGCGATTGCGTGCTCAACCTTGGGGAAGTAGCAGTCCACCATAAGTCTGAGAAGCCTGATTTAGAGGCTAACGGTGAAGAAGGTAGGCGTTCTCTGGCGTCTAATTCAACTAGATAGACACCCTTGGGGAGGCGGAACTTGATATCTGACCTGACTGATTGAGAGTCCATCCCGAGGGAAAGACTTAGCTTATCTCCCCATGTAAGCCAGTCTGTCGTGTAATGCGACACTAGAATCTAATCGATCCTACTTTTCGAGTAAGCTTACTTGGACTTGGAATGTCTTTTCTCTCCCCCTCTTTATTGTCTCCTCGCTATGTGCTAATCACAAGCGGAAATGAAACTAACTACCTATCGGAAAATCTATTGATCGCCCTGGTTGGCCTTTACCCCTCATTATGTTCCTCCCAAGTGGCTCCCCCCCCCCCCTTTTTTTCGTGGCGTTTCCATTTTTTCAATAGAAAAAAAAGCAAAGCCTGCCGAAGAAGAAAAAATAAACCAAAATGAGCAAAACTCCCAGAGCAAGAGAAACCAGCAAAGGAAAACAATACAACATTCTGATAAATTGCCCAAGTCCAACACCCTCGCCATGCAATCAAAACAAAGAAAATATGCAAACAAACATGGAAGAGAGAGTCATCAAGACAGACCAGACCATGCGGCAGTAGCGGTCATTTCAGTTCTCCTGCCAGCCATCCCGACGAGCGGTGGCTTCCCTGAGCTCCTGCATATAGATAACCGCGTGGCATCTCGGACAGACTTTGGGATAGTTATCGTCGATTGGGCCTCCTTTGCTCATTCCCACCATGATATACGCAGCCTCGACTTCTGCCTCCGTGTACTCCCCTGTCAGTGGGAGCGTAACTCGCTGGTCATCACCAGCGTTGTCGGCCATTTCCACCTCGGTGTCATCGGGATCTTCATCCATGGCATCGGGGGCGTCGGACAATGCCTCTGCTAGGGCTGTGGGGGCAATAGAAACCCAACCGCTGGTCGCCTCGTCACCCTGCGAGCCTTGAGGAGATGAATGATCCTGGCTTGATGGAGAGGGCGGAGGAGTCAACTGCATTCGCGGGGTATTGATCGGTGTCCAGCCATTGCTAGCAGTAGACGGCGGGCAGTTGTCATCATCGTTCGATGAGAGGTATCCGGCCAAACTATGTAACAACTAAGTGAGTATGACAACTGGAAAGGAATGCTAGACTCAAAGAAATTAGAGGAGGGTGTGCTTCGCGTACCTTGTATCATCATCATCATCATCATCACCATCATCTGGACTGGGACTGGGATAGGGCCGGGTGTAGGCAAGTGCGGCGCAGCGCTGCGCCCTTGCTTCCTCCGCGGCCACGCGAATGATATGCTGGTCAATCTCCCACTGGCGATATTCGGGATGATCCGGCGGCAGACATTGGCCGGGGAAGTCAGGCCCAAAAATCGGAGTGAAGGCGTACCGCACATGCCAGCAGAACTTCTTGGCTATGGCTTTGGCACATCCAAATGGCATGTAGTATCCTTTGATCCCCAACATTGATTAGCCGGTGGTCTTCCAATAGCATAGCACAGTCCAATACCTTGTGACTCAATCACTCCGCCCGTGAGCTTGTGGCAGATCTTCTTGAGGCCAAGGTTCTTGTTGAGCACTTTCGCCGGAAGAGTCTATCCCATCTCAAGGTTAGCATGTAGACAAGAATAGGAAGAGGGTGTTTGTACCTTGCCCCAGGGCTTGTAGCACTTGAAAATACCCGTCGTGCGAACGAGCCCAGTGGTGTAGTCCCATATGATGAGAATCGTCTGGTCCTCGCCAGGGACCTTGAACTCATACCCGAAGACTGTCCATAGTCAGCATCTTACTCATGTGGCTACAATAAGAGAGCTCAACTTACTATCAATTTCTTTCCGTCCCGTTCGCTCGTAGAAGTCACTCCTCGCGGGGTTGTACGGAATGTGGCGCGTACGGGAGGTAAAGCGGATAGCATGCTTTTCGTAGATCTCGGAGAGCTTCGCGTCGTAGTACTCGCAAGGGGGGTAGTTGATCGGGCCCCGGGGGGGCCCTGATCTCAATTCAGGAGCGTCGCTAATCATCTTGCACTGGGCTGAGGCTGTCTTGGGGACGACGGTCTCCACGGTGCTGGCTTGGTTGAGTGGTGCCATACTGGAGGAAGGTGTCCGACTTGGCTCAGGCTCAGGGTTAAGCAAAGCACTTATGGGCAGCATGAAGATGTTCAAGAGGGGCTTGAAGTGGGAATTGGAAATGGAAGAGGATGGAGGAAGGAAAGATTGCAGTCTAGGGGGCTTTGTGGGAGA